CATCCTCTCGGATCCAAAATTGCAAGTTTAAACCCAGAAATGTTTGAATGATGCAGAACATTTATAGCTTATTTGGATGCTTTCGGTATTCTTAAATTTTCCTATGTACACGGTTTAATTGAGGAGCTGTAACTATCACTCCAGGCAACATCATCAGCGCTCAGTTACAAATGGGTTTCAGTTTGATACTAAGTGACTTCACGAACTTATCTATATCTTCATTTCATGGTTTTATTTTTTCGTTAGCTTACTACTAAACTAATAAATATGCAAGGTTGAATTAGGCTATGGTTACGCTTGGGTATTACATGACCAAACCATCTGGAAGTTTATATAACTGCCAACAGGTGTTTCACTATTTAGAGTTATTACAAGTGATTTATGCTTTCTCTGATAACCTTTTTAAATAATTTAAAGTTGCCATGTTTAGTGAAGTTTATCCTACATACTTCAATTTAGTTCGGCATCCAACAAATGAACTGTATACGTTTATGATGAGATATGTTTCATTTCCCACGCTTGAAATTCTAATCTAATAAATACCATTATAATGAGGTCTTTTCTTTACATAACTTATTAGTTTCCATCAACTTATTTATTTCGTATCGATTAATATATACATAAATATTAGCACTCTAAAACAAACTGTATGGTTTGCTCATACATTTGGACGCATATAGTGATCTTTTCATCTGAACATTTAAATAAAATACGTAATAATGTCTATGAACAACGTTGAATGCGCATTGTTGTTTTATTTACAGATAAATCTTAAATAAATACTGAAGTTTACATAACCTGACGTGTAGATACGCAATTTATACTCCGATTTTCTATATTCAAGCCTACTATTACATTGAGTAACAAATTAAATTTCAGTGTGCTTCAACTGAAAACAAAAAGTTATTGATCTATGAAAAGTTTTATTTTCACTTTTTTTATAACTATCAAAATAAATGAGAATAGTATATATATGAAACAGAAAATGAGGTCAGTTACACTCATCAATAAAATGTTTCATTTACAAAATATGAGCCACTTAAACAGATAGACACATATACATATGCTATTAATTCTTTAGTTTTAGAGAGTTTAAAACAAATATATTATTCAAATACACCATGACTTTCCTGTTTCTCAGTTATAGCATTTTGAAATTTATAACCTACCGAAAAATGTGATTAACAGGGATGAGGTAAAGTGGTTTTTTGCTTAGAGGATAGGTGATTTTATGAAAATGAAATCCGGTAAAGAATCTATAGAAATCAAGAAAAGCTAGACTTAGAAACTGAAAAATGGCGTTTCAAACGCAAGTGCACAAAATCGTATGAATGAAATTAACATGAATGTAAATGAAATTTCTTTTACTTTTGTGTAAGGTGATTAGTCACATTTCTTTTAACTGTTAAACTTGGCAACTAACCTAGAATAGAAGTAGTAAATAGATGATCTACCACATTGCACAAAAATTATTCACATTATCGAAATATGCATTTACGGAGATCAATTCATTTTAATTTCATTTTTTCTGTTAAAAATATCTAACAGTTTTTTTAATATTATGACAAAACATGTATTTCAGTCTTCTTGTGAAAATACATACGTTGTTTCATGCTAACATATATAAGTCAATAAAATAACACAGTTAAGATAGCTTAAAACAAATACTTTATATATATATATATATATATATATATATATATATATATATATATATATATATATATATATATATATATATATATATATATATATATATATATATATATATATATATAGAGAGAGAGAGAGAGAGAGAGAGAGCATCTTTCGAGCCTAATAATCCTTCTCACTATGATCTGATCTAAAAAAAATAAATGAGAAATACTAAAGACACCTGATTTTCTAATCTGTTTGGAACAACTTGATATTTTTTTAAACTCTATAATCATGTTTATTTTATAGTCAAGTAATTAATGATGCAAGTATATTAAACATTTCATCTATACGCATCTCATGAAAGATTTTTCGATCTTATGCTCAATTATTCTGAAAAACGCATCAACCAAAATCAACTTTTCTGTACATCATTTGCATGTTTACTTATAAACTTGGAGTATTGTAGAAAATTGTTAGACATTAATAAAAACATCTGTAAAATATTGTTATCGACAACCTTTATAAACTTTTTAGATGACCCGATTCTTAATCTATTTATATAAATGTTCACTAATATGAAAGTCTCTTTGGCTGGCTGTTAGTTTATATATTTATCTGTAGAATTTTGTGGTAGCGTTTAACATTATATTCATAATGTATTTCGAAATGTCAACTGAATCCATTATATGTATATTGCACAAATTCACACATTTATTAGCATAGATGATACATTCGAACCTATGGTCTTTTAATCTGCGAAGTCCATAAGGTCTACCAAGCTGAACGTCTTTTGAATTTTTTTTAGTGTAGAGGCTTTAAAGAATAACTATGAGCTTTTCAAATTATATTCAAAACAATTGACAGGAAATAGCTTACCTTAATGAAGATCAAAATCTAGATAGTTCAGTCTGATTATGAAACCCTGGTAACTAAATCTTTTTTAGTATAGATGTTTGGGACAAACTTGACGAATATCTCTAGCTACCAGATGAAGACAAATAGGAAAAAGTAAGTGAATGAGAAAAGTAGACGGAAATCTTTTACATAGTCAAAAACATGACTACTTCGATACTGGCTAGTCTAATTACTTGACCCTTTTAGATGACTATCTTATGCTAGTGTCTTGAATACTCCTTTAAAATATTAATACAATTCCACAGGTATGAATAATAATTTCGATCCGTTTGGTTAGACATGTATCATGAACAATAATAAACGAAACTTATCTCCTTAAAAATCGATTTAGTTATCATTTCACTACATCTGTGTAGGTATATATATCCAATCTACAAAAATTCAAGACTTCGCAAAAAGCTGAGACACAATTAAGTCATGAGAACGTGTTAAATATATAATTTGCCTGACAAGCACACAATTTAAGGTTTCTAAACCTAATTTCAAAACATTAGGACACAGATGTTATTCATGTCAAAATATTTCTCATTCATTGCATTACACTTGTTTGATCTCAGCATACGTTGTTCGACACATTCCTTCAAGTCTTTCCAACTCCAGATTTTCAGCTGCCTCATGGTTCTTTGTTATTCCTGAAGTCGAAAGTCCACCAGAATCATGTGTAAAAATGATTTCGCTGAATTCAGCTGATCCAAAATTTTGACATTGAGCAAACCATCGGGACGAACAAGAAGCCACACAAATAAAATAATTTGATCAGTAGAGTAGGTCAGCAGTGGTTCTTACACTTTACGTGGCCCTTGCTGAAATGCTTGATACATTCAAAAAGTCGTTTTTTCGTTGAGTAACGTTCTTCAACGATCCTTAACATTTCATGAATTTTCTTTGAAATTTTTCCAATTCCACGGAAATCTTGATCAAATTTGTACACGTTTTTGCATGACAAATTAAGTAGATATTTTGTTGATGAAACTTTTTGAGTAATCAAAGTGAATAATGTTCAAAAAAAGTTTGTTGTTTAAATGTTTAAAAGGTACTAAAGTTACTAGTCAAAATGAAGACCATTGGAACACTGATCAACAAGAAAAATTTGCTTTTTTTCCAACTGATTAAAACAACATGATGAGTAATAACCGAAGGTTTTTCTAAAATCTTAAGAATATTAGATTGAATGATCGCAGTTAAGTATTTAGATTATAATTAAAAGTTTGATGTCTTAATTAAGGGTTGTGAAACTCCAAAATTTTGGTTCACAGATCCACTACGAAGGTTTAACCAACCAATGTTCTCTTCTAGTAAAATCGCTTCAATCAAGGTCACTTTATCAGAAAATTTTGAGTCTCCCAAAAAAAATCTACAGTCAACTTCAACCGACTAATATATTGCATCCTCTCTCCATTTATATTTCTATATATAAACTACTCAACAACGAGCATTCATTCACTTGATCTTTAGTGTTTAATAAAGAAATATTAATCAACTTGATGAAATATCTGCGAATAATTATATTTGCCATAGAAATTCAAATTTTAGTACAATTAAATTAAAATCAACCATATAATTTATTGAAAAATGTTGATAAGCTCCGTGTGCAAACATTTTTTTATACGAATATCCATTAGCCTTTTTAGATTTTCATTATTTTGTTTAGAGTTGGCATAAATTGTTTTTAATCTCCGCTATCAACTTATCACTTATGCTGTCTATACATTTTACACTTCTGTCGTCTTTAATCTCCATTGTGTAGTTTTACCCTAATTTCAAACCACGCATAAATACTGTGCTTGTTTTTTTTCTGCTCTCAAAATTTCAAAACTGTTTATCATCAACCGATATTAGTTTCTTCAGATTCCTTATCTTATGGATTACGCTTACACACACATCTTAGCTACAGATATTGTCAATGTAATTCTGTTTGTATCAGCTTATGTAACCATATGGTTTTGTTTTACTTTGATAACTCTAAGTCCCGCTTCATAACTATTCTTACTACATGATATTAGCTAGTTGATTACTAATCCAATATGCAGTTTATTGCTTGAAGTGATTGTTTTATTCTTATGCATACATATATTCCGATTAGGCGTTTTTGATCAAACGATTTTGAAAGTGTTCAATGAGAAAAAAAGCTTTATTAGCTATGAAACAGCCGTTTTTAAGACATGCCCTTAACAGATTGTTGTATTTTTAAAATGTTTTCTAGCATTTCACAGTAATCATATTACACTGGAAAATGACAAGGTTAATAACTCAACTATGCAAAACTATTCCTAATAATTCATTACCTTATGATAAGTGTTAATAGAAATAGCGGTTATCGATTTGAAATTAACTTTTCCTGACGTCATACATAACATTTGACTGAGTGATAAATAAAGTTTCATCATTAATTATCAATACATCATTTTGATAAATTGTATTTTTCTTTCATTTTGATAAAAATACAGCACAATAATGGTGTGGTTCATCGAGATCTAAAGGCGGAGAATGTTTTCATCGTCAGCAACATGTATGTTAAACTTGGTGATTTTGGCTTTTCTAAATGTGTGGCTCCAGATGCTGCCTTGACAACGTTCTGTGGCTCTCCGCCATACGCTGCTCCTGAGTTATTTGTTGCGGATTCTTACACAGGACCAGCTGTGGATCTTTGGGCTCTTGGTGTTCTCTTATTTTATATGGTGACTGGAAGTTTGCCTTTTAAAGCGGATAGTTTACACAAAATTAAACGTTTAATCCTATCAGGTGATTACCGAATCCCAGCCTATGTTTCAAATGATTGTCAAACATTAATCTCAGGATTATTGGCGACTAATGTTGAACGCAGATATACCGTATCTCAGGCGAAAAGTTCCAAATGGTTTAGTGATATTGACTGGCAGCATCTAATGAAACATAAAGATCCAACTCCTGATGAGATTGATGATGCATCTGCTCGGTATCTATTGAAAAAATGGTGGGATGTAGACTCTTATGAATTAGATAAAGCATTAAGTGAAGGCCCTAAAAACAAACTAACTGGTATTTATCGTATTCTTCGTAGTAAAGGTTTACAATACAAGAAAGATCCTACCTTACCTGATCAAAAATATAAAAATAAACGAGGTCGAGTTAAACGTAATGGTTCTTGTAGTACCGGTAAAAATAAACCACGACCAGCTAGTGTATCACATAAAGAATTAACAACTGTTGATTTGAGAGATCAAAAATCTATAAAAAATGGTGAAAACTCTACACGAACTTGCAACATTTTGTAAAAAAAAAATAAATAATTTATAATTCATTTTCATTTTATTCTTCATTCATTCATTCATTCATTTGTTTTTTTAACTGTAAAAAATTTGTATTTCATTTTCTGTTTGTTTATATTATTTTCTCTATAATAATTTCGGATGGAATACAGGTTAAAATGGATTATTTTTTGTAGTCTTTAGCATCACATCATCATGTTACTATTTCTCTGATACATTTTTTTCTTCTCAAAATGTATTATCAATAACTTTTCACCACTTTGGTTAAACTTCACTGATTATTTGTACGATGTAAGATGTTATAATAATAATAATGGTAATAATAATAATAATAATGAACCCATTTTTAACTTAAATATAAACTTATATCACATGTCTTTCTACTGTTGGTATTATTTGCACTGCCTAATATCATGTTTCTTATTTTAACTTATTGTTTGTTTGTTTGTTTGTTTTTATTTTTTTTCAATCATTGTTTTATTTTCAAATCAATTAGAAAAGAAAACCTAATTTCTATTGTTTTCATTAAATTTGATTGTTTCATGTATGTTTATTTCCATTCAATTTACTAGATAATTCAATAAATAATTAATCATTTCTATTGTTCAAATTTCTATTCATTATTATACAAATTACATACATATAATTAAACTAATTTATTGTATTACATGATGATTGGCTGTGAAATAATGATTATTCTCTGATTGGTTGTGCGATTGATAGATCGATTGATTAATCAATCTATCGATTAAATGTGCTTTTTTTTTTATAAACAAAAGAATATTATTATACATAATATTGTGATTCATTTAATTAACTGACCTAATTAAACACCCAATTCCTTGATTAATTCACCATTTATTTGCAATATATATTTATTAGTTTATTTTTAACTTTATCTTTCTCTTTCAGGTTCTTTCTTGTGGTTTAACTTTTTATGACTATTGTTATTATTATTATTATTAGTTTATTTCATTGTATATTTTCTAAAAGAAAAGTCTCTTTCATCTGTAATATTATCTTTTCTATCGGGTTATTCTATGAATCAAACTTCATAATGAATATATTATTATTATTCTTTTTTATTGGCAATACTTATATATGTTGATGAATCAAAATAGTTAAACTTTATTAATTTCCTTAATTGGTGATTTTCATTCTTCCTTTTAAAATTATTATCAATAAAAGAAGTTGAAAATACATGTAAAGATGCAATCGACATGTAAACTTCTTGTATGTAAACTTGAAGATAATCAATTGATTAATCATTTAGATTATCCTGTGTACTTATATTTGATTAAACTGGTTAAATGGAAGGAACCATAAGAATGTTGTCTATCTCTGTATCACTAATTATTAATAACGAATATGATACTTGATACTATTTTACAATAAAATGATGGGAAATATAAAAACAAATATATATATTTTTCATTACTTTAATCTCAATTATTGTATTTTCTCTTTTCCTATTTTAATCGATCTATTATTTTTGTTTTCTTTTGTTTTGTTTTTGGTTTACTTTCTAAAGTTCTTATCCTGGTGTTGTTTCATTGTGTATTGTTTAGATAAAAGACAGACTGAAGTGAAATCTCATTCTTAATACTCTTTTTATAAACTGTTTATACTTTTTGTTATATATTACAAATTAAATGGAATTGTTTTCCTACTAAATAGAATAATTGTATTTGATTTTATGTAGAATATATAAATCACAGAATAGAAAAATAAACAATTTTGTTGACCTTTTTAAATCGTCCTGATTATCTTTTGAGACTGTTTTTTTTGCCTTCCATGAGCAAGAAAGTTATTTCTAGTTAATTAAATTTCATCATTTAATAGATTTAGAGAAAAATCATTTAAATCTCTCTTGTAATATTATTTGACATTGTTGATAAACCCTTGCTTTTCAAGAAAAAAGCTAACAAATTATTACGTGTTATTGGTCAAGTAAAAATCTGTGGATGTATGCGATTGAAGTTTGAGGATTGACATGATTCTTACTAAGATTACATTGTAAAGTTGATTTTTATATGTTCATCACTGTGTACCCAACACTCTTAGTTTAACAAAATGCAATTCCAGTTAACTCTGATCAATATCTTTCAATATCTTAGTTGAAAACATTACTACTAACCAGTTGGTTTGTTTATAATTATATACATAGTTTTCAGACGAAAGTTAGTGTGATGTATTAGCCTTTAAATTTGGTTAAATATATTTATACTTATCATTTGTAGTAAAACTACAAGGATGAGTAACATGATTTTGTAAAAATCGATCGATTGTGAATAAAAAGCGCTCAACACGTTAAGTGTCGTTTGTTGCTCAGATGCCATAAATAAAATAATTCTATACGAGTTCAGTCTCTATGCAAATTAGTAGAGTTTTAGGAAACAACCTGAATGATATAGGTTTGAAAGCTTGTATGAACAAGTGTTGACAATGTTAAACTGTTTTTAAAAAACATGTGCATGAACAATTTCACTCTAGAAAACTCATGTCTAGAGAACTATATGAATAACCTGAAGAATGTATCATACTGGATACATTCACTATCAAAAGTGAACTTCACCAATTTTCTAATTCACATAAACAGTGTGAAGAAAAATTAAAGGTTGTAAAGCTCTTTACTAGAATGTAAGTTATGTTTCATTGATTAGCTTACCTTTTTATGTTTCCCTGTAGCAAACTGTCTCACAATGTTTTAAACTTCGTATAAAATAAAACTTGAGACGTGATAACATTCATTGGATATATTTTAACCACAGTGCAGTTTCATTGAGTAAATAAATATTTCTTATATTGTTTGATTAATTTTAACAACGATTATAGTAAGGCATAATGAATTAATATTGTTTTTACTTTTTATTTTTCGAACCCTATTGAATCTAAAGGATGAATCACGTGTAGAACTTCAGTACAAAAACTAATGCAGATACCTTTTTGTGAAAGATTCTATATGTGTATCCGGCTAGATGTATGCAATAAGCCGATACATTACAAACCTGAATTCTATTGGAATATTTAAAATGAAATATACAAATTCTTGAACCGGTTTCATTAAAAATAATACATTTTATGATAATGTAGAAACCACAGCACTTAACTTCTACTTGAATTGTTTTTTCCATCATTGTTTCTTTATTTAATTAGCTCTGTTAACATTGAGTGCACGATCAATCAACTGTTGATTTATAAGTATAAATATAAACTTTCAGATTGTTATTAATTTAATTTGAATGGGATAACCTTGTCATTATTAAATGAAGGAAACTAATTATAATTATCAAAAACCTTCCTTGATGAAACACAAACTTATTTCTTAGTGAGACATTTTGATCTAAATTCAACGGGTCTCCAACTTGCTTTTTTGCATTTCAGATCACTCTGAATCACAATATGACTACAAAAACTTTTACTTTTGCTGCGTGTTGTACCATATAGAGTAATAAATATTCATTAAATTGACCAGAATTAAAGCGTCCATTCAAAAAATCCGAATTATGATACGTCCAACACCATTATAACGGCAATTTGTATCGGCTCACATAATTTACTGGTTCACTTAACGATTTCTGCCAACACTATTCAGAGGAGTTACTTGCCATTTTTAAATTAAACATTTTGTCGATTGCTTAGCGTAGCTAACTTTAAATTCATCTTCATATTGCTTCAAACATGGACCGGTTGCTTCATCTCAAATAGTTTATCGACACAATAATTACTAAATTTAACAACATATTATTACTTGCCTCACAACAACCGATCAAAATCCAGTACGTAAATGCATGCAAATAATTTCTAAGGAGAGGAAGTTCAGAGTAAAACATTTCATTTCCATATTGACGATTTCCACTCAAGATCTAGTGAACAAATTCACAGACTTGAGTGATTTCAGGCACTGTTAATAATCAGTTCGAAGGTATATTATCTCGTCGACAATGTCATGCTAAAATCATTGGATCTCCTGACAAAGATTACCTACAAGTGTGATTCATTCAGTTTGATCTGAAGTGCGATTATGTGTATACACCGCAGAGAGTTTGATACTGTGAAAAAACAACTCTCCTATGGTTTCACATGTTTATTCATTGTTTCACTACATTTAACCCATGATGTAAACTACGAATGAATGACAGGTGAAGTAGAGATAAACTAAATTTCTATCCGTGATTTTCAATCTGTTAGTTAGTTAGTTAGTTAGTTTGAAAACGGATTCTCTCACTTATGATAGCATTTATTCCCCACTCCTCACAATTCTCATAATCATAGTTTATTTGTGTTTATTAACCAATAAGTATTTAGAATCATATCAGAATTAGTGAAGCACAAAATGTATGTCAGTCAATCATAGGCGAAATTGTTGTTGCTGTTTCCTTTAGTAAATTTATACACCGTTGTTTTTTTTCCTTTTTTGACAGAATACCAGCTTCTCCCTATTATCTTTGTTTTCTTGATTATATTTTCGTTACAAAGTGCATTATACTAAATTTTAACATCTTTCATAAGAAGGTAGTAAGGAATTCATCTTTTCATCAGTAACTAGATACTGAACTTCTATGTTACTATATATTCTCTTATTTTGAATTGTCAGAATCATAAATTCAATTATAAATAATTATTCAAAGAATATCAATTATATATCTGATATACTACTTAAAACTAAACATTTAAAGTTGAGTTCACTATTTACCAATTCTTAATGTTTAACTCTCACTGTGAACCATTCTGAATCAAACATTAAGTATATATATATATATATATATATATATATATATATATATATATATATATATATATATATATATATATATATATAATTAGTGGTAATAACATGTATGAAATAAATTGTAGTAAAGTATATTGATTTTCAAATTTTAAAAATAATTTCTACTTCACTACAACTTTATTTTTTATCTACCTGTTTGAACACAATGTATCCATTTATTTAATAATCAAAATATGTGTATTGAATATGAATAAAATGCTCTTTTTTTTATTCC